GTTTTAAAATGTATGAGTAAGATCTTCAACATTTAGAAAACTTACACCTTTCCCTTTTCTCCTTGAACTCATATTTCCATTCCATTTTCTCCAGGTTTTTAATCCTAATACATTTTAATGTTTGAAAGTATTATTGATCATCAGTTATGTATCTGTAACAAAAATAAGTGTATATTTTAAATTTTTATTTTCCTCTGACTGTAAGTGGTTCTAATTAATAAAATTTTTCCTTTGGATTATAATTATTAATAAATAATTGATCAAGACAATATATATACACATTTTGATAATTATTAAATGCAGGTAGTAAATTTTTTATTAGTTAAGGTAATACTAGCTACTGTGACAGATAAACATCAAATTCTAATGGTTTAATACAAGACTGTTATTGATAGAGTCTCAAAAGGGACATGGTGATGATTCAGGGGTACAGGTTTGTCCCATCATGGGGCTCTGCTGTCTCCACCATGTGGCTTCACAGAGCCAGAAATGGAGAGAAAGAGCAAGGGATGGCACGTGGGCAGGTCTGGAAGTGGTGCCCCTTCATCCTCTGCCTAATACCCAGCACCAGCTCTCCGGGCACACCCAAAGCAGCAGGAGGATGGGCATGCGGCCCAGCTGTGTGCACCAGGGGAAGGAGACGGACTGGATGAACAGCTTGAGAATCTCTGCCACAAGTTTATTGGAGATGCATGATTGAGAAGAATCATCCAACTTTTAAAAGAAATCTAATAAAAGAACATTTTAGTCTGCTGAAAACATCTGTCTGGCAGCTATTTAAAATATAAGCTCTCAGAAATAGGAAACAGAAAAATGTAAGCATTTTATCAGATGATATTAAGACTGTTATTTTAATATAATTTTGTATGATTTAAGAAAAACATTTTCTAACTTTCTCATTGAATCACACACTGAACACCAACCAAAAATACCCAGTGCCTTGCCCTTAACAGAAATATTTATAAAGAGGAGAAATTCAGCAAGTCCTATAAGGTTATGGGAGCTCAATCATTAAAGGTTTCACCTTTGTATGACTTTCATTTCTAGAGTAATATTCAGGATGGGTAAGGACAGTGCCTTTTTTTTAAGAAGTGGGAAAAAATACTTTTAGGAACTCAAGCATATTATAAGATAAATCAGTTTTAGGAAAAAATACTTATGGAAGTTGATAATCTGGAAATTAATCGCTTGAAAATGACCTGTGCCTACGTAAACTCCTGTGAAAGTTTATGTACTTCTGGCAAACCTGCGATTTGAGGACCACTGCATTGGAGTTTCCAAAAGTGTGTTTTTGACAAACTCGTGAGATATTTTGTTGCCTCCCTTTATCCTTAGACTGTAAATTCTGCTTTATGCAAAAGAAAGTCTGTGGCACTGAGGTCACTGGAGTGCCACTGAGTCTGCAAGAGGCCATCGGTCATGGAAAGGAAGATTCCCATATCCTGTTTAGGGACTGGATATTTATGATGTGTCAAAAGTAACAGATTGTCGTGATGCTGGGAAAACATGATGAGCAAAATTTTTAACTGAATAAACAAAAGGCAAGAACTACAAGTGAGACGTTAGGGTGGTTCAGATTCATGACCTGGTGCCTGCTTACTGAGTGCTTGCTGCACATGGACGTCGTGCTGAGTGCTTTACACATAACCTTTAGAACACTATGAGGGAAGTGCGTTTTGTAGATGAAGGACTAACATGAGAGGAGCCAGGATTCAAATCATGTTTCCAGCAAGTTAAGTTCTGAATCATAAATCCTAGTAGGCATCTGATAAAAGCTAAGGATTATCTACCCCAAAGAACAGGTAAATATACAAAATTCTACATACTAAATTTTGGGGTGTCACAGAGCCTCCTTTCTGAAAAGCCCTTAAAAGTCAGCCTTACCTTAGATTACACTCAAGGGCATTCAATGGAAACCAGAAAAGTTTAACGTTAAACATCACAGTACCGTGATTATGTTCATGCTGTAATGAAGATCTAATGTATCTTAAAGAACCCTGAGAAAGGTATTCAATTTTGTAGACCTGGAATATTAAAAACAAAATCAAAACAAACAGCACATTCTGCCTTTTTCTTTTTTGAAATATGTATAATATATTGGTAGAAACTGTTCTATAACCAAATATGTCTTAACTGGCCTAGTTAAAAACAGACTCATTGTAAAGAGTATAAAGCCAGAGGTTCTTCCTGTTAATTAACCATGTGGCATACTTCTTTCACGCTTTTTTAAAAGACTAGAATATCATTATTTCTGAAGAATATTATAGTATCTTTAGTTGACAATAACCCTAAAATATTACATAATTTCTAGGCATATTATGAATAAAATGTTCAGTTTAGTTTTTATTTTACCTTAACATTTGTAAGAGTAACATCTGGTATTAAGTTTCTCATTTTCAGGCAGGGCCCATTCACTAACTTGCTGTGTGATTTAGCTACATAGCTTAAGGTAGCCAGACATTTAAACAGATGCAGCTTCCAATTTCTGTGTGTTTACACCCAGAGAGTTCATCACTAATAATGCTAATGAAGCATTTCAATTATGTGAAAGGACAAAAAAATCAAAAGTATTTTAATCTTTAACCATGCACATATCTTAATATTGTTGCTGTACTTATTTACTAATAACTAAGCATTTGGCATTGCCCGAACAAGGTAATCAGGACTTGTTAGGAATGCAGGAATAATTGATATAATTATGTGTCACCACAAGATGGAGTTAGAGTTCTTCAAAACACACACACACACACACACACACACACACACACACACGCACGCACGCACAACAAAAAGACTACAGATCTGACTTATTCCATCCTGCCATCTAGTGGCATTACTCTATCGCAGCAATTTCAACCTTTTTTATCTCATGGCAGACATAAATTAATAAAATTCTGCAGCATACCAAAAAATATATATTTTCTGCTGCTCTGACAAAAAAAAAAAAAAAAGGTATAATTGTGATTCATTCACACCAGACAGCTACTGTTGTGTTGGCTGTTGTCACNTTTTTGCCAATCTGACAAAAAAAAAAAAAAAAAGGTATAATTGTGATTCATTCACACCAGACAGCTACTGTTGTGTTGGCTGTTGTCACTTTTTTGACAATCTAAGGGAAAAGAGGTCACCAGTGCCCCTGATTAAACAGTCAGGTATTGCGTGTTTTAAAAATTCTTTCCTCTCTCTAAATCAATTTAAAAAAAATTTTTTTACGTATGCCCTGGCTGGGTAGCTCAGTTGGTTAAGAGCATTGTTCTGATACATCAAGGTTTCAGGTTCAATCCAGTCAGGGCACATACAAGAACCAACTTTTTTACCAATGAATGCGTAAAAAGTGGAACAAATTGATGTTTCTCTAAAAATCCATACCACAAAAATTAAAAATTCTTGTGGCACACCAGCTGAAAAATCACTGCTGTATGCAATCAGGCTTCCTTATGCAAGAAGAAAACAAAAATAAGCAGTTCACAAGAGCTAAGACATTAGTTGAAATGCAAGATTAAGTGCAGAAAGGAAAGTGGTAATATCATTTAGTATAATAGCAAGAAGCATGAGAGAGTGTCAGTGGAGTACCAAACTGGCAAAAAAATAAAATTAAAAAAGTAAAAATCTCTTTTCCCAGCTACCAGTTAAATGCTCGGTCCTTCGGAAGAAGCTAAGGCCACGTTGGGGTGAGGCCCTGAGTTCATCAGGCGACTAGCACCGTGCCCCCCGCTGGCCCTGCACTCGCCCACACCCCTCCTCAGCCCTCCCCCTGCATGCCTGGAGGATAAGATCCACGCCCTCATTAAAGCAGCCCTGTTTGCAAGGCGCTGGCCAATGTCAACATGGGCAGCCTCATCTGCACGTGGGGGCTGGCGGACCTGCCCCAGCAGGAGGTGCCGCCCCTGCCCCAGCTGAGGAGAAGAGTGGAAGCAAAGAAAGAATGGAGTCTAATGATGAAATGGGCTTTGGTCTTTTTGACAAAACCTCTTTTGTGTCACATTCAATAAAAAGCTGAACTCTGAGAGAAAAAAAAAATCCATTTTAAAACATAGCTTTCTTCCTTAATTCCTTTTAGTATAAAGAATTCCAAAGATGGCTTCACCTATTCCTTTAAAAGGAAAGTAGTTTGGATTTAAACATTTTAACATTGCCTTTTATATTTAATAAAATCAAAAACTGCAAAATCTTAAGGAAGGAAGCATCTAAGGTCTCTAGGGACTTACATAATTTTGGGCTCATTTATAGCCATTAATGTTCTTTTCATTGAATAGCAATGCTTTTATTTGCCTGAGTTTTTACATTTGGAACTTCTTTAGGGGATATACTTTTTTAAAAAATTTACCCCCCAAAACGTACATAACACGTCAAACATACACTAACAAAATTAGGGGAAAAAAGGGTTAATATTCCTAAGTAAAAATCAAATAATATAGTTAATAAACATTATCAGTAGTATCCTGATTAAAATAATGACATTAATAATGACATTAAAATAATATTTTTTGCTGCTCAATCTTTCAAAGAGAGATTTACAATAAGCAGTGTTGGTAAGGATGTAAGAAAACATGCTGGTGTAACCATCTTAGAGTATGTTAAATGGGAATATATTTTTACTTAGAATTTCAACTTCCAGGAACTTATGCTAGGCAATAACTCCAAGTTTACATACAAAGATTTACCTATTATAGGGATGTTATTAAATTGCTGATTATAAGAGCCCAAACCTGGCCACAAGCTAAGAGGATAGCTAAATAAACTATGGTGTTTCCACATGCTGGAATACTATGTAAACTGTAAGTCATGTAGAAATATTAATGGCATCAGAAAAGGCTCACCTCTATTATGTGAGAAAGCAGGTTATTATGCTATATGCATAGCATGATACCAATTTTGGATTTTTTTTTGTTTTAAAAAGGTACTTTATTTTCTTCTTTGTGCTTTTCTAAATTCCCCAATGTACAGGCATTAATTTTATAATAAAAATGTGATAAAATTACCAATATATTACACACCACAAAACTCTTGATTACTGTATTTTCATATAAAATATACAATTTTCCAAATTTGCACTTCCATATTTGAGTACAAAATCTTAGATTAAATACAGGTTTCAGATGTATGTGTTCAACACAAAAGAGATATTGGAAAAAAAATTTTAGATCAATCATTTCAAGAGACAACTTCAAAGTAATAAGCATGGTTTGGGAATTTCTCATGGAAAAGCCAAAACTATACATTTTTTGAAGAAAACATTTTAAAATGTATTATCCTAATCCATTAGTTGTTTTGTATTACCTATCTAAAATCTCTAAGTAAAATTTATTTTCTAAATATTCAAATTCGACTTTCTTAAAATTAAAACATCAAAATGACCACCCAAATATTAAATATTATAAAACTGAAAATGATTATTTATGCATGGAAAATAGCTCATTTGTCAAAACAAGGTTCTATGTATTTCAATGCTGCCATTCTATAAGAACATCAAAAAATAATTAATTTAGTGTATTAAACCAGCTGCTACAGCCAATAAAAGAAAATATGTGCTAAATAAAAATGGATATGTTTATAACTGAAACTTTATTCACAAAACATAATGGTCTTCTAATAGCAATATTTGAATATTACAGCTTTTCAACTATATTCTAAACAAAAATAATTAAAAATCAATTCAAATAATTTAGAATAAGTGCTTTATTTTTTAAAATTCCCACAAAAGCTGAAACTATCATTTACATCAGTTGCAATAGCAATAAAAATTAGAAATCAATTTGCTATAACTCTTAAAAACACAAGCATAAAACAAAACTAAAAGAAACAAAAAGAAAATCTAAGTACTCCTTTCAAATTGAAGATAGTCTATTTGTGACCTACCAACCTGCAGATGTACAAACAGCAGATGCACTCAAAACTGTGCAAGATTTAATTAATTTAGGACAAAATTCCAACCCAGTTTTCATTACTTTTGCAGGTTTGTAGAAAGTCACAAAAAGTAAATCACTCCTAATATGTAACCAGCTAATGCCAATTCAAAACACTCCACACCAACACAATAACAACTATGGAAATTATGAGGTTAAACTCACGGGAAAAAGCAAAATCTAGCATCCAAAGTGTGTATGCTTTAATATATTTCTACTTTTGTAAAAAAAAAAAAAAAAGTTTTCTTTACACATCTAAAAGAAAATGTATCATTTCATATTCTTTTTTCTGAATTAAAAAATATATACGTAATCTTCCTTTGTTTTTGATAAGTTCAAATATGAATTGATAGTGGGGTAATTGGATTCTTTTAAGAAAGCTCTATAGAAGAGATGAATACAACATACTATATCTTCTTTAAGAAGTATGAGCTGAAATGTTAGGCATTCCTTGTGTTGTTTTTGAATATATTTAAGGAATGCTATTCTTGTAAACAATGGCCTTGAAAAAGAAGTACTGAGACTTATTCATTACTAGCGGATCTCCATAATAGATCACCAAAACTATCCTTGTTTGTGAAGTCAGGGAAAACATTTTTAGAGTTTATCTTGTTTTAAAAAAAAAAAAAAAAAAAAAGCTACCACTTTTCTTCCTTTTTCTTTTTTCTGGTTATCACAATTAAACATCAGAAGGTTTTCCCAAATAAATATTGATGTAAATGTTGATTTTGAGGGCAAACAACTTTCATAAGCGTCTACTTCTCAGACATTTCACCATTTGTGGAGACTGAGGCAGCACTGTTCTGGTGTGAATTGTCACTGGACTCTTGTGACGTATTCCTTCTGGGAGAATTTATTGGAACCTGAAGCTGATTGGCAGATGCAGGCATAGCAGCATTTGGTGACTTTGTGGAGGAATTAGATGGAAGTCTCTGACGATCACTCTCTGAACCAGAAGTAGACGAATGTCTTTTTCTTCCAAATTCCTCACTAATAGGGGGCTGCAAATTATGAAAGACAACACAGTAACAATTATACTATTTTTCCTCCCTTTAAAATCTAAGGCCAGACTTTTCCAACAAAGAGGAAACTGTTGGCGCTTTGGCAGATTTTATTAACAAAAACTTAACAGCAATTTAAGGTATTAAACTTAAATGTCCTCCCAACTAAATCAGCTTGCTAGCATTTTTTCATTTTTTCACTCAACATGTGTTTATCAAGCTTCTCCTATGTTTTAGGGCTCGAATTGCATAGTAGGGTATAAGCATAAGGCTGAGTTTCTTGCTTCAAGAAAATGTTTCACAGAGGCTATTTTCCATCTTTATTCAATTTCTGTCATCTGCAAAGCATTTATAACTCCAGTCCCTTCCTCAGCCCTAACCGCCTATCCTAGGCTTGCTTAAATGGTAGTTTAACAAAAAGATAAATGGCTCAGGCGGGCGTGGCTCAGTGGTTGAGCGTCCACCTGGGATCCAGGCAATCAGGGTTCGATTCCTGGTAGACACATGCCTGGGTTGTAGGCTTGATCAATGACTCTCTCATCATTGATGCTTCTATCTCTCTCTCCCTCTCCTTTCCTCTCTCTGAAATCAATACAGATATATTTAAAAAAAAATACCAAAAAGATAAATGAAAGCAACGGGGGCGGGGGGGAGATTAACAAGCTTGAAGGTTTATCTCGAATTCATAGGATAAGGAGACTGGAGAGCATTACAGATGGTACTAAATTTAAATGCTTTCAAACATAAATATCCATGAAGCTCCCAACCCCCTCAGACTGCAAGCACAGAGAGGCAGGCAGCAGAAAGGTATAATGCATTACAAAAAGTCAGCTTTTTAGGTCTTTCCAGTGACCGAGATTTGAGAGCCCAAAATGATACTCAGACAAATATTTTCATTTGAAGATACGTTAAGGCCATAACCTCCTTCGCCAATATTCCACTGTATTTTAAAAGTGGAGGCCTGAATTCTCAGCTTCAATTCGGAAACGCCAAAAGTCACTATTATATAGATAGCAGGGACGTCTCTGTGACAGAACTGGCTAGGCCACTCTAGAAGCACAGCTCTTAATTCCATTGACTCCATCCCTGGGCCACCTAATCGATTTAGACACAAAACTTCAAGACAGACAAATTACAGTACTAGGAAGAGATGAACCTAGCCTTCCTTCTCTATTTTCTGCTTCTTGATGCTTCATCTTTCCTGATTTTTCTTTCCTCTTTGTTCTTTATCTTTTTATGTTCTTTTTTTAATGCTTTCCTTTTCCTTTTGAAATCACATTATTTAAAGCCTACTCTGCTGTCTCCACAAATGCACATAACATTCTTGCCTAATTTTATTATGCAGAGAACCCTAAATTCATGTTACATCAGCATATATTACAAAAGCTATAAAAGTATTTAAAAGGTGAAAAATTTTCAAGTTGTTAGTAAGAAATTAGCAACATATCCACATAAAACTAACTAAATCTATAATATGTTTATAGAGGTATATCAAAATTGAAGTTGAATGGACAATTGCACTGTGGTTATGTAAGATGTTAACATTTGGGAATTCCAGGTAAAAGAGTATATGGGAATTCTTTACTATTTTTATGTCTGCTTTAAAGTTTGATTTCAAAACTGGAAAGTTAAATTTTCAAAATAAAAAGTTAAAAAATAAAAATAGCAATACAGAGGAAAGGACTTAAAACTTACATCAACGCGGAAGTCTTCTAACCTCTTAAAGCTACAGAGGTATTCCTGAAGTTTTGGGTCAACAGACTGTGTCTTAGATTGAGAATATTTTAGATAAGCCCAAAACTTTTCTAATCCATACAACTGACCTAGTAACAAAAAAGAATATGCATAATAAATTATACAGAATTTAAAAAAAAAAGATTCATACAGAACATAATTTTACCAGCAATAAACATATATCTTCCAATATATATATTATTTAGATCTTGAGAATAAGACATTTTAATGATTAAAGGCAGCTAATATTTATTATTTGCTATGTAACAGGTATTATTTAAGTGGTTTATTATATATTAAACTAATCTAAAACAATCCTGGAATATAGTTGCTTTTGTATATATTACTGATGAGTAAGCTGAAACTAACAAGGTTAATAAGTAACTTGTCCAAGGTCACACAGCTACTAAGCAGTGGAAATGGGACTCGGGCCTTGCCCAGGGCCTGTGCTGTTGTTGCCTACTGTGCTGCTCCACACTCCAGGCACACCCACTGATGCTACACAGAATTTTCATGCAAGAGCATCAGTGTGTAGTCACACTGGTCAAGTGAATATGACAAAAATAAAACTCCTCAGGGGAAAGGTCTTCTTACTCCATATGGTGCCCCATCCTTCATCAAGCACCACAACAGTGACCAGAGGGTCTTAAGTGGTCTGCCCAGAAGAAAAGAGTTATGAATTCCCTATTGACAGACTCAGGTTTACAATCAACAAACAGAGTAAGTTATTGTTTTGATTTTTTTACCAGATTCGTAGTCTTTTTTGGTTTCTTCTTGGAAATCCTTAAAAATTTCTTGTCTGAATTTTTTTTCCAGTCCATAACTATAAAACCTGAACAGACATTCTAATCCATACCTGTGAAAAATAAATAAAATGCTTATAATGAGATTTTGGTTATGACAATGCCAACATCTCATATTTAACGGCACTGATACAAGCAAACATGGCGCAGATAATCCCAAACAAAAACCCCAAATGTTTAAAAGTTTAGTTGAAGCGGTAATTAAGAATCCATAGTTGGCTTTGCTATTTCTGTTTGACGCAGCCATAGTACCTCCTGGAGGTACACTGGGAACTTGCAGAATAAGAGGGAAATCTTGGACAATTAGAACATAACTTCTTTGGGCAGATGAAGGATCTCTCCCTGGTATTGCTGAAGAGCTAGTCAAAAGATTTAATAACAAATTGGGAATGTTTTAGATTTTTCCCAATAGTGTGTTTGTGCATGGTATTAAATATTCTTGAACGTAATCCTTCCTCTAGAGAGATAAAGAACATACTTTTGTGCTCTAGACCCTAGGTATGGCTGACTCATTCAGCTATAAAGGGACAAACCTAATTAAATGTCCCCTAAGAGATCCTCCCTGCTTTAGTGATAAAGTACATTTTATAAAAGACATTTTGCTGAAACAGTTGTAATCACTACATAAATCAGAAAACCAATGGCCTTGTTTCCTCCTTTAACTACCTAGAGAACCTGAGAGAAGTTGTGGACAGTAGATCAGCAAACTACATGGGCTCAACCTTCAACTAAGAGTGATGAGCAGAACCCATGAGGGCAGACAAGGTCAACAGGACAGCAGTGTAAGGACCATGTCTAGCTCACTCAACTAAAATACGTCACAAAAGATTCCTGTTTTAAAATCCTTGTAAATCTGGGTGCCTCAGTGTAGTAGAGGCTATAGTTTCTTCATTACTGGTGACATTTTACCTGGCTGTTATTCACAGGTAGAAGGGTATGTGTGTGTGGGGGGGGTGTGTGTGTGCATGTTTTGTAACTAGCTTATTTACAAGATGAAGAGTGATAATCCAGAGGAACAACCACCTACCAAGAGAAATGTAGGACTACCAACTACATACCCACACATGAACCAGAGCCCTGTGCTCTGGTAGCTCTAAGTGATGCTCCTCTTCGAGCCTGTAGACTGAAGGCTAAGGGTACTAAGGACGAAAGGAACACCAGCTCAGAATGACAGATCTGCCTTGACTCTCCCTTATAGGATCATATTACATTTGATATAAGTGGTTCTCAACCTTGGCTACATACAAGAACCATCTGGGAGCTTTTAAAAAATACTGATGCTCAGGTTCCATTCCAAACCAATGAAATCTGGATCTTTGGGGGTGAAGCCTAGGCCTCTTTCTTCCTTTCTCTCTGAAAAGCAGAATTGAGAACTTTTGGTTTTTATCAAATTAACATTTTAGAGGAATGTCAGAATTCTTAGATTATTGGGAAAGACCAATAGATGACTACAACATTTGACTTTTACTCTTATTTCTTAGCAAATGAATTCCTAAGACCAAAATATGACATTAATAACACAACCCAAATATGTAGCACAACTGCTGGTTGAAGAGCAGGGGCAAGTGACCAGCCTCTTAGTTCATTTACTCACGTACCTCTCGCTGTGAGACTGCTCAAAGGCTAAGAACCAGAAAGAACTATATTTGAATTCTAGGCTTATAACTATATCCTTGTAAATAGGGATAATAATACCCTACTTTTCAAGAATAGGTAAGATACTATTTGTAAAGCACTCAGACCATAGCTGGCACATTGAAGATATATAATAAATATGAATTCTCTCCCCACTTCTTGAAACCATCTTAATGCTATTTACTTCTAGTCATTGGGTGTATTTAATAATGATCTTCCTAATAACAAAAACCATTCATTGAGCATTTGCTATGTATCAGGTAATAGGTTAAGCCCTTTACACGTTGTTTTGTTTAATCTTCACAATAACCTTATGAGGGTATCTACTATAATTTCCTCCACTTTATAAAGAACCTATAGCTTAGGGGGACTATAATTTGTCACAGTTACAATAAATGAATGGGCTAGGACTCAAAACTAGGTCTCATTTCAAAGCCTTCCAATGCTGAATCACTGTGCTATACTTCGTAAGAAATAGCTAATCCAGTCTAGTCATGAACACTGAAGAAACAGACCCAAAATTAGAAAACAGTGTTAAAAAGCTATTAGAAATATACACAGAAGAACACAGAAGAGGAACCCCCTAGACTTAGGTAGGAAGGGGATCAGAAAAGTATTAGGAAGCCCTGAAGAACAAACAAATTGTTTGTTTAAACAGCAAAAGGTGCTGAAATTATGACAATGGGTTTCAAACTTTTCTAAGTTCAATATAGTAAGAAAAATATTTTAATTTGTGACCAAACCAATACAACACTCATATACATTGTGTGTACATAAAAGCACATGTTTTTCAAACTACTCTTAAACTCCTATATATGAACTATGAAACAATTTAACTTTACTATGTTCAGTGCAGTCTCACTGTGTTTTCTAACCCTACATTGTTTTCACAACTCTCCAGTGGGCTACACACCATAGCATGAATGAGAACATTGAGATAAGAAATGGCAAAGTTTGCCTTTTGTGTCAAATCTGGTAAACTAGCTATTAAAGTTGTGATAAAGACTGTAAGTCTGAATTCAAGAACAATATTAAAACTGCTGGGATTGATTAGAGATGTCAGCAATGGACAGAGCAGAGTAAACTGGAAGTAGGTACACATGCCACGTGTCTAGATGCTAATTAAATGGGCTTTATTTTTACAAGTCAGCGCAAATGTGATGTTTTCATAAAAATTTACTCGCAGTAAATTTTTCCCCCTTAAAGATCATAATATCTGATTAACATTATATTTGAATTCAAGATCTTTTGGTCCATGGGCCAATGCTCTAACCACTGAACAACACTGGCCAGGGCAACAATATATTCTTATTTGAGATTTACAAGAGGAATCCAATTTTAGAACTTGAAGAAGGGTAAATTTAGAAAGTACTGAGAGGAAAATAATCTGTTTTCTTCTTTCCATCACTTCTTCTTTCTTCCTTTACCCAGGAATAGATAGCCTGTAGGAGTCTACTTCATGTTCCTTCTCTCTTGGTCTGGTCTAACTCAGCCCTATAGGCACACTCAAAATTGCCCCGGAACACTTCTCAAAAAAGCAAGGTGTAACCTGGACAAAAAGAACCGGTTAGCAAAGCAGAGGGAGGAAGAAGAGAACGAGCAGAGGTAAGAATATGTATAGACGTCTGGATGCGAGAGAGCTCGGTTCACTCAGAGAACACGTAGTTCAGTACCACTGCTGCCTAAAAAACTAACAGCAGGGAAAATGAGATTGGACAGGTAAGTCAGGACATAGCACGACTTTTTCTTGGCTCAAGCATGTATTAATTTGAGGATGTATATGCACACGCAAGTGAAGTCTGTGATGGTGGAGGGAAGAGAGAGAAAAATCTTTCAAATTTCATTTGGCCTTTAGGCCAGTCCCTAAAATGGTCCCAAATGATCCTACCTCCTGACATTCACAACCCTGTACAATGCCCCACTACACTGATGGGTCTATGAACAACACAATATGGCAGAAGTGATGGTACATCACTTTCAAGGATAGATTACATAAGACAAGGAGGCTTCCTTCTTAGAATTTCTCCCTCTTTTGTTGCTCACCAGCTGAGGGAATTCATGTTGTGAGATGTCCTATTGCAGAGGCCTATATGGTGAGGAACTCCTGCCCCTAGCCACGTGAGTGAGCTTGAAGAGGATCCTCCAGCCAGAGTCAAGTCTTTAGACACTGTAGTCTATGTAACACTTCAACTGCAATTTCATAAGAGATTGAGCAAGGACAACCCAGCTAAGCTATTCCTGGGGTCTTGACCCACAGAAACTGGACAAAATAAATGTTTGTTGTTTTAAGCTTCTGAGTTTGGGGGTAATTCAGTATGCAGCAATAGAAAACTAGTACAGCCCTCCCTCTACTTATGTAGTGCTACTTTCACAGTTCAAAACTGGATTACTTTTCCGTACTAGTTTTTACAAAGGAACCCCATGGTCTGGGAAAACATATTTGCCAAGGATGTATCTAATGAGGGGATAATTTCCAAAGTGTACAAAGAACTCATACTACTCAGCAAGACGAAGACAAACAACCCAATTAAGAAGTGGGCAAAGAACCTGAATAGACACTTCTCCAAGAGGACATACAGATGGCCAAGAGACATTTGAGAAAATGCTCAAAGTCGCTAATCATAAGAGAGATGCAAATTAAAACCACAATGAGGTATCACTTCACACCCGTAAGAATGGCTGCCATCAACAAATCAACAAACAACATGTGCTGGCGAGGGTGTGGAGAAAGGGGAACCCTAGTACACTGCTGGTGGGAATGCAGACTGGTGCAGCCACTATGGAAAACAGTATGGAGGTTCCTCAAAAAATTAAAAATGGAGCTGCCTTTTGACCCAGTGATCCCACTTCTAGGAATATATCCTAAGAATCCTGAAACACTAATCAGAAAGAATATATGCACCCTGATGTTCACAGCAGCGCAGTTTACAATAGCTAAGATCTGGAAACAGCCCAAGTGCCCATCAGTAGATGAGTGGATAAAAAAGCTGTGAGACATTCACA